GTGTATATTTTGCGCACTAATGTACTGTAGAAATTATGTATCAATAAGGAAAAGTATATTAAAATTATTAAACAGGTATTTAGAATCTGCTGCGAGAGATACGTCTTACTTTGAAATAGATGAGACTGAAAGTTTAGGATCGCGAAAGTGTGTTCGTCAAGTATTGTCTGATACTAGATTCAAGCGTAAAAGCAAATCCTTGTCAGAAGAGGAACTGGTAAAAGAATATTTATATTACTTTAATCTTCTTTTTCCTAAACTATTTTGTATTCAACACAAAAAGAATAAGTAAATCTCTATAGACACATATAAATATTTCAAATAGCATTAAAACTCATGTAAAAGAATTAGAAGAATTAGAAAAAGTTTATAATATAAATTAACATATGTGTACAATAATGGTAAAAAAGAATGGGTTAAAGTATTGAAAAAGAGTCAGACGAATCCTTTCAGGGTCCCTGTACTTGTACTTCGGAAATTACGTTTGAAGAGACCAGAGACAAAAACATTTATGATGAAAGGAGTCCCGTCACTGAACAAACGGATAGTACATCAAAAACTATTGACCCTACAGAAACTGAAACAGATGATGTTACGGAAACAGAACCCACAATGAGAATTTCCAAAGAAGCAGAGGATGTGACGGGTGATACCTCAGAATACGATGATTCAAAAGATGTAAGAGAAATGGAAGAAGCCCCGAAGAAAAAATTTAAGCTTGACGTTTTGGAACAGAATATTAACGCCTTGAGTGAAAAATCTAACACTAAGCAGAAGCTTGATATGTCAGAAAAGAAACCTCGAATCTCCGGAAATCTTAGGGTTTCAAAAGGCTACAGAGTCTCGACAAGTCAAAATCGACAGGAAAAATCTAAGCTTAATGTCCCGAAAAAGAATATTGACGCTCCGATAGACAAACTTAAAATTAAGCAAAATCCTGAGACATCAGAAGAGAAACTTGGAGTCTCAGGAAATCCTAGAATTTCAAAAGACCTTAGAGTCTCGAAACAAAATACTAGGATGACAGAAGAGAGATCTAGAATTTCAGAACAAAAGCCTAGAATTTCAGAACAAAAACCTAGAATTTTAGAACAAGAACCTAGAATTTCGGAGGAAAAATCTAAGCTTTCAGAAGGTCCTACCATCATTGAACAAGTGTCTAAGATCTCGGAGAAAACTTCTAAGGTCTTCAAACAAAAACCTAGGATACCAGCAGAAAAATCTAAGATTTCAGAGGAAAAGCGTATGACTTTGGAACAGATACAAGCGATTTCAGAAGAACCTACAGAAATCGATACGATGCATGAAGAATTATCTGCTGATCCGCAAATTGAAACCACAAAAGTCGATAAAGCAATTGAGACACTCGATCAAGATAAATCTACTCAAACCAAAACTTATAAACGTGATCGAAAACGAACAAGAGAAGAGAGCAAAATTTTAGAGGCAAAAAAATCTAGCAGACCTTCTAAAGTGCACAGTAAAGAGGGCGAAAAGAGAAAAAAAGTAAAGCATCGAAAAATGTAAGTTCCAATGTGAAAAATAAGCTTTTAACAAAATTATATAACAATAATTGAATTATGTAAATATTCATCTTTTTACTTATCATCTATTATATTTATGTTATGTTATCTTTGTTCATGTATTTATATGTATTAAAACTGATCATTACATAGCATCGTTCGGAAAATAAATTTTCGGAAATAAAGTTACTTGTGTGTAATAAAAAAATCAATACTTCTAGCCCCGTATTCACCGAACAAATTTTATATTTAAAAATTTCTTTATATTAAATTGTATATAAATTAATTTACTTTTTTTCGAAATAAATAACATAAATTCTATTCATTAAATAAAATTAATTTCTTAGCTGCAAACATGATACCACTAAGCGCGATTTAAAACGAAGAAGATGCAACTGTTCAGAAAAATCAACATTAACGGAAGGGGAGGAATTTTGCCCTACCAAACGTAGAACGAAGTTAAAAATTGTCGATCGATATATTCCTAAAATATGCGTTTCCACGCGTAGACCGAAATCAAAAGCATTAAGCCAATTCGTCCCGGAAACGTGTTTCCAGAGGAGAGAAATGGAGCAATTTGAACCTAGAGAAGAACTGTATCCAACACGCGAATGTGAATGCAAACATAAAACAGAGAGTTACGAAACGGACACTAATAGGAGTTACATTTTTGAAAGTCCTTGCGAGATCATTACAGATGATAGTCCACAAGTGATGCAAGAAAAGTTCGAACTGCCTAAGGTAAAGAAATATTTGCCTATGTATCAGAGTCCGGAATTAATCGAAGAATTAAAAAGGCACGATCGCATGAGATTGATTCAAGAAAAAGAAGCTGCGAGTCGTAAACTCGGGAGTTCTTTTCGATCTTCAGATACTTCAACATATTCCAGAATGGAAAATCGGAGAATCAGTCAATCTACTGCACCCGACTGTTCAGTAAGTATTCAATAATTCAATTCCTCAATGAACTTTGAAAGAAATCCATATACACATACACTATGACTATCACACATATGACTAAAAATAAAATTTCCTTTCAAGTTCAAAGTAATTGAAGAGGATGACAGGCTACGTTATCAGGAATCACAGGCGTATAGAAGAGTTTTATGCGAACTTAAAAAACGAGCCAGATCCCAAAGAAGAGGTAGAAGACCTGATGAGAGCATACCCTTAATATGCTTATCCCAAAGAGCGGACACAAGTAGAAGAGTAGAACAATTATATCCGACAGAGCGTCGAGCTCGAAAAAAGCCAGATGTACTGAGGAAATTTGCTCATAAAATATTCAAGGTAATTTAAAATTTAAAGTATTGCAACAAAATGTGAATTTCGTAGTTAGTATACGTTTCAGCTCTTCAGTTTGTATTATCGTATAACGCTTTTCAGCCAACTAAATATAAAAGATCCAAATGCAAGGTGCACGAAGAACAAACTACATTTGAACCATCAGGAGCTTCGCATTATGACAGTTCATACGATCCAGAAATATTAACAGAGATATCGTCTCCCTGTAAATGCATCAAAATGATACATGAATCTGAAGCCTGGAAGTCCGCTGATACGAGCGACAATGACGACGTCACTTATTGCCAATGTAAAAGTACTTGATAATATTTTGTATAGTTCAATAAAAATTATAGTCTCATACGATGTATAAACAGTTTTTACAATAAATGTTTTAAAGCAACAGTTTGTTTAAAAAATACATTTTTCGACAAAAATTGTACTATTCGCAACATAATTCATAAGTCAATACAGAAATCCTTTCAACTGTTTTTCAATTTTTCTTTACTATCAAAATGGATAACCAATAAGTCAAGGATTCGACGAGAAAAATGAGTAATTGTCCATTTGAGACGAGATAAAATTAATGTTTTCTCACACAAAGATGTATTTCGGCGATGTCGAGAGTTATTCAGCAGAGGTTTCTCCAAAGAAGAAGAAAAGTATATGTGGAAGACAGCATAAAATTTGATACAGACGGATGTAAGAAGAAGAAATAGTAAATCAAATACTGTAGTTGAATCTTTAGCAAACTAAAATGGTGCTGACAAAATGGTCCGCTTTCAAGATATTAAGATCGAAAAAGCCTGACAGTTCAGAAAAGGACGATATCGCGGATACGGCGGAGAACGCAGAACAGATCGCACAGGGCGTGCAGAATGCACAGGTCACGCAGAATGCACAGGACGCACAGAACGCACAGGACGCACAGAACGGACAGGTTGCACAGAACGCACAGGTCACACAGAACGCACAGGTCGCACAGAACGCACAGGTCGCGCAGAATGCACAAAACGAGCAGAACGCACAGATCGTGCAGAACGGACAGATCGATGCAAAAGCAATTAGTGTTCCTCCACCACCCTCCCCACTTTCTTTTGATGCTGTAGCAGTCACCGATCCTGGAGCGGCACAGGAAGCCAAGAATGGAACGGAAAACGATAAAGAAAAAGGGGACGAGCCCAAAGATGAAGTAGAAGAGAAAAAATTAGTTCTGAATGCGATTAGAATTGGTGACACGAAAACTTGTGCAATGGAAAAATGTGAACCGGAAATATGCGAGAGGATGTTGAAGAAAGAGGATGATTCTGAAGCGAAAATCAATCACACGAAACTAACAGAAATGATAAATAGTTCTATTAAAGAAGCGGTGCAGACTATTGTGGAGCAATGTAGAATGGTATTTACATAAGATGCAAGTATCCAAGATACTTAGTGTTTCATTTCTCAAATATTTATTGTAAGTTAGCAAAAACAAATTGACCTCATAAAGAAGAATTTTTAGGACGCACAATAAATCACTACTCCATTATTTTTTTCTTAATTTTGTAAAAGTTTTTTATTTGTACTTATTAATACAATTGCATGGTCTTGTGATTTTATGTTGTATTTGATTTTGTATTCATCCATTCTTCATTAAAATACTTGCATAAACATTTACAATCCTGTTATAACGTATTGTTTGTTACGTCTCAGGATGAACAAAAGGGCCTGGATAAAAAAACAACGGAGGTGCAGGGTATGTCCGTATGTCACGAGGATACCTGCAGCAAGCAAATGATTCCGGTCCAGATTACACATGAGTCTCGACCACGCACCACTGAGGAATTATTCAAGTGTAGAAAGTATTCAAGCATACAATCAAGTGTTCCGAAATACAACCGAGTTCAGGATAGATACAGTGTTCGAACGTGCCCTAAAAATTTACGCGAAGAAATCAGGAAAAGTCGTAGTAAAAAAGGAACAACCGAGGACAAAGAGATAAAAGATAAAAGACATTCGAAGTCTGCGAATAATGTAAAAACTGATAACCGACGAATGACTGGCAATGTGAATATCTATATTTGTTCAGAGGCCACGGAAAATACTCAAGTAATATAACTTTTATATACTACTAAACACTTTTTTTAATTCATTACATACCAATTCGATTTTTTTGGCATTTTCATATTATTTTATTAAATTATTATTTATGTTGTACATGTATCAAAAATGATTTAATAAATAATCATTGTGAAATGGGGAACTTCATGGGAATATGTGGGAAATTTTGTTTATTAGGTGAGCAAAAAGGAAAAGAAGGTTCAACAATCGAGTTCGGAAACAACAACGACGGAGCGGTCGAAAATTTCGTCGAGTAAACTTGTGACTCGTATCAAAAACAGACGCAGGAAACAACGCGCTAAAGAATTAAGTTCGTTCGAGTGTGTTTCGAAGAAAGAAGAGAGCAGCGACAATAGTACAACCTGTAGTTACGTTACCAAATATACGGAATCGAAAAGCGCTACGAGAGTAAGAAACGGCAGTTATATCGATGTCTGCAACAATCTCGATAACGATATTTGCGTAAAAGAAACAGAATCTACTTTGTCCGATTGTGAGTGTCAGCACGCAAATATTAGCGATACCATCGTCGAGATTAATAAATCAGATCTATCGTTCGAGAGATCAAAATTTGTTATATGCGATAAAGTAGAAAAACCCTGTTCGACAATCTATCCTACAAAGAGTATGTCGAACTCTGAGAGCGAGGAATGGTCGTCGAAATCGATCTGTAGCAGTAGTCGAAACGCGGATTACGTTCCATGTGACACTTGGTCACTGGAACCTAATTACCGTACCACCGACACTGAGAAATCTAGGAAGCCTAAAAGAACCCTCGACCTGTGTAAATATCACATCAAAGATCGAGAATCGATTACTAGATGCGTGCGATGCAATTGTAAGACTACAAAACATTTCTCAAAAGTGGAGAAAGAGCCGTGGATAGTTTGCAATTGTATAACAGAAGAAGAAGAGGGAGAAGTTTCTGTTAAACCTGATACTGATAGGGAGGAAGAGAAAATAACTGTTTGTCGAAAACGCTCGGGAGATGTGAAGTTAGAACCACGCACAAAAGATATCGATCATTTAAGAGACAGTAAAGAAGAATTAGAGGACGTCGACTCTAAGGATGCAAAAATATCAGAAGGAGAAGTAGAAGAGGACACAGATAAAGCCATGCATGAAGACAACCAGGAAAAATTATCTACAACGCCGGAAACTAAATTACTAGTACCTTTTGCTCCTCGAAGATTGATCAGACCTGAAACAAGGGTACTTCAAACCCTTTTGAGACAAGTACAATCTGTGAAACCAGTTGCACCTCCAAAACAAGACGCACAGCCTAAGTCGAAGCCTGTTTCTCCAAATATTTTAAGAAAATTCCATTTACCTAAACATTACACGCTGTTAGGACAATCACTTGAAAAAGAAACGTCTATCGAAGAAACTGGTAAAGAGGTAACAGAAAACAAAAAAGTAGAAAGTAAAGAGACATCGGAAGATAAAAACGATAGTAAAGACAAAGATACTAAGAATTTTCCAGAGAGAGTGAGAGGGTCGTTTCTTTACAAAGGCTTGAAGAAGATGATAGGAAAAACTGAACAATCCGTAACAAGAGCCGAGAAATCGGGAGAAGGGGAAGACGATGGGATTATTGAACCGATATCGGATAATACTAATATCGATATTCCTGAAATAGAAGCCGACAAATCTGAGTCCGTGGTAAAATCTAACGAAATAAAAGGAACAAATAAAGAAAAAGAAAAAAAATCGAAACTCTTTTCATATGTACCGATGATGATTAAGAAAGATAAATCCGAGAAAAATGTAGTTACTTCAGAAAATTCATCTAAAAATGAAAGAAAAGAGAATAAGAGTAGCAATAAGACTGATCCTGCTAATCTTACGGATCCCATTGATACAGCAGCTTCGAATCCTACTGACGATCTTACAGAATCAACGAAAGAAGAAACGAAAACAATTAATACTATTAATAAAGATGGAGTAATTCCTGATGCTATTAAAGAGAAGCAAGATAAATCCAAGTTAGCTGTTGGTAAAATTGCCTTACCTGATCAGGATCAACATACCGATGATGTATTGTCGGAAAAAGAAAATGAAGAACCTCCGAAAACGCATGATCCTCAAGAGACAAATAAAAAACGGGAACTTCACGAATCATTAAGAAAATCACAAGTTAGGAAAGCATCTAATGTTGAAGAAGAAAGGTTGTCTGTGACTCGAAAACCACAAGTTAGGAAAGGATCTGGTGTTGAAGAAAAAAAGTTGTCCGTGTCTCGAGAGCCTGCGATACAAGAACAAAAACCAACTAAAAATATGTACTCCGAGGAAGAACCTGTTACGGCGTGCACGGAACCCTATAAATTACAGTCTCGTACATACATTAGTTCCAAGCCTAGTTCCAAGCCTTATACGATATGTACTAATTCTAAGTACGTGAAGCAGCCAACTATTAACGAGAGCACTACTGTTCAAGAGAACACATGTAATTGTTGTTGTCCACCAACAACTCTTCGAAATGTCACCGAGCCCATAAGTCACCCGAAAAGCTGCTTGAAGAAGGAAAGGCAATGTTGTCACTCTGAATCTCAAGAGACCACTAGTTCGACTCCTTATCACGACAAGAAAAACTGGGAAGGATGTGGATGCAGGAGAATAATATCTTGCAACGGTTGTTGCAGACCGCGAAACGAATGCAGGTACTATGGGCTTTGTTAGAAACAAACTACATAGGTATATAATATTTTATTATAGTATTTGTTCGTTCTAATATACCCCTTAAAATATATTAATTTAAAGTACGTATAAATCCTTCTATAAGTACATTCTCTTTTATCATTATTCTAGGAAATCGATTCGTCTTTAATACCTTTGATATAAATAATACTTTATAAACTATATTTGATGTAATTTTAATATTTTTCATTAACAAGCGCTATTTCCTGATTTTTTAAATCGCACGTGGTTAAATAGTTGCAGACGGACAGTGATCTGTACAGTATGTTACAAACCAAAAAATAAATGCCACTGCAAATCGATGTACGAAACGAAGTCGAATCAGAAAACTGACGGGTACATGAAGTCAATGTTTTGTCTTTATTGTGACAATCCTCGCGATAAATGCACGTGCAGAGCTCCGATACGAAAGTGTTCCTGCTGCGATTTGTCCGGGGACCTATGCCTGTGCAAGGATCAAAAGTCAAACTGCGATGGAAGACCGGTACTGACGGAGCCTGAGAACAGCCGCACCATGTATGTCACTGCCTGGAAGCCCCGAGAGGAAGTGCGCCGTTACTTTTCCAGAAACTTGGCCGATCTTCGCACTGATTCTATCAATGAATGCTGTTGCTGCGAGAAGCTTAAGCCACACAACTCCGATGACCTTCCTTATCAACGATTAAGCGTCTTTTCTGACGTAATGGACGAATTGCAACAAAAGATGAGCGAGTCTATTTGTTGCGCGCGATGTAAAAAGATTCCGTGTTGTTGTAACGTTGTTGCTGAGAGAGATGAGGGAAGGGAGGATAGAAAAATAAAATATTGCATCAGGTATGAATCTTTCTTTTCTATCAATTAGATTTTAAACTAGCGATTCGAAACTTAACGAGCCGCGAGATATTAAATAACAAACTACAATTTAATTTTAATACAATTTTTAATTTAAAAATGATTGAATTCTCGTATAACAAGTGGAAATGAATGTCATATAGAGATTGTTTGACTATTATAAAAGTAGGTAACGATTCAGAGAAGGTGTTGAGAAATACTAGAGGAGAGTGAAAGGTACGTTGTAGGTAAATGCAGTTTATAATTTTGGTACGTTTATTGTAGCCCCAAAACGCGGCGAAAAATTATAGCAGTATGCATGGAAAAATCAAGGAACAATTGCAAGTGCGAATCCAATCAAACAAAAAGTGATAAACAGAAGAAAATAATAGTAGCCCTCTGTTGTGCCTGTCAAGCGACACCTTGCCGGTGCAAGAAATCGAAGTCGAATCAAAAGAGACCAAAAGCAAAATGTTACTACTGCAAAAACTCGCCGTGCATGTAAATACACACTTCTTTAAAAACGAGTACAGAAAGTAAACGAACAATCGCTAAAGAAGAGCTTGATAAGTTATACGCTCTACATTTACACACTGATAAAACTGTTTCTTTTGAATGAAAGAAAAACAGATATATCATGTTGGTCTTCGCAAATACAATACAAACGTAGAATTTTCACGTTAACTAAAATGACTTACTCTGTTAATAGCCCCGAAAGTAGATCTGGTACTACCAGTTGCTGACTTTTTGTTACATTCCTTATTGCAGCTGCATCGCGGCCAGGGAGCGCAACAAACCGAGGCCATGCAGGTGCACTGATTCACCTTGTCGAGCGAAAGAGAAGGAAAGCCTACCGTGCGGAAAAACATTTATAAAACCAAAGAGCAACGACGAAAAGACAATTTGTGTGCGTTAATATGACACTTGTTGTTGTTTGACTTAGAGCGCAATTGTTTTTAAAACGAGAATCAAAGCGTTTTGTCTTTTGGAGTTATCCAAAAATACACCCTCATAACACAATTCATCGTCAGTAATTGAAAATTGTTATTAATGATAAAATGTATATGTCGTTCAATATAGACTATGATTACAAGTGAGTCATTTTTTCTTTTAATTTAATACAGAGTAATTACTTTATACATCATGAAGACGTACTAATCTGCAATTTGTTCGTTGTCAATAGAAATCCCTATCTCTTGTTACGTAATATACGATATAATGTTGAATAATATACGATATATATGTAATAATTTTATTCCATCTTTGAAATATTCTTTATAACTCCAAAATAAATTATTATACTTCGTTTATCAAGCCTAATTCTTTGCATCACTGGTTCGATTTACCTGACGTTCCACGTTACTTGAAAGCTAAATTGGTAACCATAAACTTTAGAAAATTTCTTAATAAAATAATAATAATAATAGTTTCGGATTAAATATTCTTAGATGTATATATAAAATACTGCCGATTCTCGGGCAGCAATTTATACATAGCTACGTATAAAATATTTAAAACACTTAAGAACTGTTGGGAGTAGGGGGTATCTTGGACTTCATACGAGACGCTGTCTCCCCTGTTTTGTTAGATCGGCACGAGACGTAGACCGACAACGTGTTCTTCTTTCGCTAAACGTTTTCTCCGTTTGCTTTCGCTTTCAAACAACGTTACCTCCTTCGTTTTTCAAGTTTGCAACTGTAATTGCTTCGCTGTTCTCACAAGATTTACTCATTTTTGCTATCGTTCTTCCTCATTGTTAATTTATTCTGAATATCAGTGATATAAGTAAATATAAAGAGTATAAGAAAAAAGATACAAGTGACGTACCGTGAAGAAAATGCAAGCCTATAGTGAAGATCCTGGTTTGCAATGTGTGTCTCGCATGAAACTATTAAACGAGAAAAATGATCGTAATACAAAGGTTTCTCTATCACTTAGCGAACTTATTAATCGTTTACACGATGCATTCGCTACTGATCACGTGAATATAGATTACGTCAAGGACTTAATGGCCTCTTATAGGAGCAACCCTTTGGAATGGAAGAAATATGCAAAGTTCGATAGATACAGGTAAATCAATGAACCATGAAGAGAACATTCGCGGAACTATAAATTATAATACAATAATTCATGATTGAAACCTAGTATAGCTTGTCGAATTTCAAAACAT